GTTGTTAACTGATCAAATTTTTTATGTAAGGGAACAAATCCTACAGTTGTTTTCCCAATATCATTAGATCTGTAAGGTGACCCTTATGTTTGATGAACAAATATCAATGTTTTCATGAGAAATTTTATTACTGAGTTTAGTGGGTGCAGTGTTGTCTGTACATAGGCCTCATCAGCCTTAAGAGTTAAGAAGAAATGTAACAAAGTATTATGGAGTTGGCATTTAAGTCAGAGAGGCAACCCGAGATAGTAGGAGGCTTGTTTTTGCTATTTCTTTGTCAAATCCAAAGAAAAGAAACGTGGGCCCGGAGGGAAACACTCGCACTCGACCATCAGAATACCCCCGCTCAGTGGCTTAATATGATTAATAGGATACTCGTATCAACAAGTTGCAACTTCTTTTCTGAAAGCCCATCTCTTAAGAACTCCAAGGTTAAGCGTGCTTGGCCTGAATTGATGGGTGACCGACTGGGAAGTTCTTCCCGGGGTGCATGAGTGAGGACAAAGTACGCAGAAAAGACTGGTGTTGGTCTGTGAGGGCAGTCTATGTCCTAAGAAAGCTATTAGATGTAAGTGGGCCTGGCCTCGAGGAGGCGGGACGTTACAGAATGGTATCAGAGCCGACCCTTGCGGTTTCATGGGTGCGTGTGTCAGTTGCGCAGGCATGGTGCGCATGGCTGGTGTGGACCCAGAGTGGTCACCCAGCATGGCATATGCGCTGGCACTGGACACACGGACGTGGCCAAGAGAGGACGTTCCTGGCCTAGGGTTTACCAATGAGGACGTCGGTCTCCTAAGGGGGTGAGGATGTAACACCCCGACTCAGGGCTTAATAGGATTAATAGGATACTCGTACCAACAAGTTGCAACTTCTTTTCTGGAAGCCCATCTCTTAAGAACTCCAAGGTTAAGCGTGCTTTGCCTGGAGCGGTGGGTGACCGACCGGAAAGTTCTTCCCGGGGGTGCATGAGTGAGGACAAAGTGCGCAGAAAAGACCGGTGTTGGTCCTGTGAGGGCGCCTATGTCCTAGGAAAGCTATCGATATAAGGGGCTCGGCCTCGAGGAGGCGGACGTTACAACCATCGACAAAGATGCAACAAAACAATAGGGCCTGCACATGCATTTGTCAACTCTGAATTTAGGCACTTGTGCTCTTGAGCTTTTAAAAAGCCAAAAGTGTCTAAGCATAAGACATAATGAAATGAACTTCACAAAATTTGTCATAAATTAATCAATAATATAGATCTAGAAAAAGCAGTGTGAGTATATGAATATTTCCTTTCATCAGAAATTTGGTTTACGAAAAGAAAAATAGGAATAACTCCGAGAAACATTCAATCAAAAAAGGTTGTCTATGTGCAAGTTCTCACCTATCACAAACAAAGCATATTTGTTTGAGAAATGCTTGGCATTGGCCTTCTGCTAAGAAAGGATGTTGAATTCAAATGAACTAGAAAGCCATCAGATACCTCAATAATCAAATCTTTACTAAATATTTGGAGAGCTCAGGCTTTGTAAAAATCAAGGCGGTCTCTTTTGTTTTTTTTATTTTGAATTGACAAAGGATGATCCAATCCCATCTCAAGGGCAAAAACAAAACAAAGAACTTAGTTACCTACACATGTATTTTCCATGTCATATGGCACGATAACGCAACAATAACTAAATAATCTGCGTTTTCATATACTGTAGTCCTAACATGTTGCTGTAAATATGTTCCTGAGCAACCAAATTGCAGAATATTTTACGTATGTACTTCATATGCCTTTGTCCAAAGAAAATTCAGCCTGCCATCCCACAAACAAAACAATGGTAGCATATATCAAAGCCACTGACCCCTTCTGTAAATGTGCATGACCTACTGGACACCAAAGGCATCTGCATACTCATTCCATATGAAAATAACCACAATGGTAGGCATAAATGAAGAGCGATATATGTATCTACAATTCTCCATATATATACCTTCAGTCACTTATATTATGGGCCCTGGTCTAATGTGTGGAACTGAACCAAGTCTATCTATATGCAAAGCTATCTACGTTCCAAATTGAGCTGAACACACACATGGCTTGCAACTGTTGTCTGATTGCAAAGTAAGAAAAGTGCCTCTATTATCTTTAGAGGTCTGGAAAATGCAAACATAGAATTGTACACTAGCACCATAAAAGGCGCTAGGTATGTTCTCTTGTACTAAGTTAATTAATTGCTGGTATGAGTCTTATAAAAAAAACTTCAGGGATGGTATTTCATCCTATACCAAGCAAAATTAGACCATCAATGCTAAACAAAAGGTGTGTCTTCTGAATATATAAAGTTTGAATATTTCAGCGTATATGAAGTCTAGAATCAATTCTGAACATGACTGGATCATTAACTAATCTAAATATTCTCATGAATAATGTGAAGCCTGAGCATTTCATCGTTTTCTGAAAGTTTCACAAATCTGGAAAGTTCCTGAGTACAGTCCAATTATCAGCTGAAGAAAAAATTAGAGCAGTTTTGGTCTTCAAAAAACAACAGTACGCATTTACTTTGCTGGCGATTTCTAGAGGTCAGCTTTAGAATGGAAACCATAATAGACATCTCTCAATCACCTTTGCATGAGAAGAAATATGTTAACTGATGCGAACATGTACACATTGAACCAGAAAGAAAGGTGAACTGAAAACGATATTGATGTTCTAACCTGGGTATGATCATGTTGAGCACAGAGAGGCCTATAATTGTGGATTAGCTGATAAAGCGGAAAAGCAGGCAAATAAAAACATAAGTTTAGAACAATCACCAGGAAGGTAGGAACAACATCCATGTCCTGCAAAATATAAACGGCAAACGATTACTCACAAAGATATGTAGGCATGAATTAGAGGGGAATGGAGAAATCTCACAAGGTCGTAAAGGAGTCGGGGTGGGGTTGGGTCGGCCGGCGGCGGCGGCGGACAGCCGCGGGGTAGGAAGCTGGAGGAGTTGGACGGAGGCGTGGAAGGCGAGCGGGAGGAGGAGCGGACCTCCAACATGGCACCATTGGGCAGGAGCATCGCTGGGTTTCACCGAGGAACCAGACCAGATACGCTGCGCCGATGGCACCAACCGCTCGGGCGTGCTCGCGCCGGTGCGCCGCGCAGGGGGTTGCCGTCTCCCCACCACAAAAGGGGCGGAGCAGGCGCTAGAGAGGGCGCACCGCCGGTGCAGGCAATGGGGAGGGGCGGCGTTGTGAGAGGTGAAGCTGCGGCACAGGGGAAGGAAGAGGGCAGGGCGACAGCGACGACACGAGAGCGGAGGAGACGACGGGATGCCGATTGGAGGGGACGAGATATTTTTTTTGCGGGCAACCAGTTATCCCGTGGAAGCAAGCAAGTGTCAACAGCTTTTGCATGCATGCAAAGCAAGCAAGGCCCTCACCGGCATGCACGCGACATCGCATTTCGCATGCGCAGCCGCACCACCATGCTAATTAGGTACCGCCATGCATGCCAAGAATCCACCGCCCCTCGCTATGCGCCACCGTCCATTTATGCTCAACGACAATCACCAGTGGAAGCCCTACTTCATTGAATGCGCCCACCGCTTGATCTATCCACCGCGAACGCATGGAGGAAGACCGATCGTGACGCGCTTCATCTCGAGCCGTGAATTTTAATCTAACGCACCAACTAAAAAGAACATACGTGATTACCCTAGGAGGCCGCCGATTCGGCGTGCCTTCATATCTTTAATTACTATGGCATATGAGTTCACTTCTTCACTGCCACTCCACAGCACTACACCTCTCTCTGTCCTTCACAAAATAAAAGGTTCCCTCGTGACAAAAAGTATGTTGATCAAAATATATTTATACCGCATATATAATTCTATAAAGCACTTTCAAAAAATGAATTAGCTGTAGTATTTCATACGACTATTAGGAAATGACTCATTAGGAAGGCTAGCATTAGGAAAGGATCCATCAAGATTATGTATTTTAGGATAGTGATTAACCATAGTTTACTTGCCTTGTATTGTATTGTGATTGTATGGCTATATATATCCAAAGACCCTCGTAACACCCATGAATAGCAAGGTGTCCAAGGCTTTAGTTGACAAGTGGACCACCCACCCATGGGACCTGTGTGGAAAACCAGATGATGTGTATAAGTTCCAAGAGTATGAACTGGGGAGGCTAGAAAGAAAATAGAGAAGAAGATGAGATAAGGAAGCCGGGCTTCCTACTCAGTGATCGAGATCCCCTCCGATCTTCGAATGTTGCCACTCACGCCGCCGCTTGATCTCACCGGGCGGCCACGGGTCATGACCGCTGGTATCGTAGACGGTGTATCCTCGGCGTGGGGAACGGGCACCGCAGCTCTTCTCCGCACTAGTTATTGGTGGTGACGACGATTGTTGGCGCTGTCGGCGGCGGATCCAAATTGTCCAAATAAGGGCGACTCCATCGATCCGCGTTCCCATCTTCTTCGGCTCTAGCGGCACTCGGCTCAGGCTCCATTTTGTTCCGCCGGCGGCGACTCCATCAAGCGCAGGTTGTAGCGGCTCCTCCTGCGGCGCATCTTCTGGTGGTGTGTGGTAACATCGGTTCATTGTGTGGAATCCGTGGCGAGTAGCGGGATTCCAGCGTGTGGGCGGCGGTGTCGCGACAGCGGTGCTGGACGGCGGGCTTGGAGCGGTGGCGTACTGGTGTTGGCGACTTCGACGGCCGGCCGGCTTCCACTCGAGGCGCCGGACGGTTGGCGGTGGTGACCACCACAAGTTCCTACAAGCGACATCGGCGTATTTCCTCGGATTCTCTTTGATTCTGCGGGTGACGGATTGGGGGTGAGCCGATTTCCTTCGATCTGAGGCCTCTTCTCCGAGCAGGCAACTGGCAGTGAGCACCTGCTCTGTGCTTTGCCCCCCCAGGTGTTTGTTGAAATGTGACATCAAGAGAGTCAGCACCCAATGTTTGTTTTGTCGTCTCATTCAGAAGTGGTTTGGGATGAGGAACCGCAGCAGTTAGATGGAGAGATGGATGACCCGCTGGAGTGCAAGCACACCATGTTTAAGGCAGCAATTGTGTCCACCAGTGATGCCCAGAAGGTGCTCGATGATGAAATGCCTAGTGTGGTTTTGTGGGATGAGGATAGGTCACCCAGGCTCCACATGAATAGTGATTTGTTGCAGCAGCTTGCTCAAGGTGGAGAAGACTTGATTGGCAAACAAAACAAGCCAACCATAGAACTATTCTTCATCGATGAATTCTGTCATGTCCACAACACTTCCTTTATCTCAGGGCTTGCTGATGATTCTATTAATGAGGTTTTCACAGAAAGGCCTCTTGAGAGGGTGATATGGGATGATGGCAAAGCATCGTATGAGCAGATAGCAGCAGAGGTTCAGTCGGTGTCAAAGGATACTGCACACAAGGTGTTTCATGAAATTGCAACAGAAATCATGTGGGATGAGGAATCGGGGCATGACCTCAACTTGCAGGGTTTATTGCAGCATTTAGCTCTTGGTGAGGAGACGAAAGTAAGTACTGAACCCCCCATCGATGACTTGCTCACTCCTGTGAATGACCGGTTTTCTATGTTGGCAACTGGTGAGAAAAGAATTCTAGTTGCGGAGCCAACTAAGGATGATATGTTCTTAAATCAACAACACCCACAGTCTCTTCAACTGGGCAGAGATGCTGTGTATGAGGCATTTATTGAAATCTCTTTTGAGGAGAAGGTGGCAGCAAAACCAATGAAAGAGGACACAGTGGTACAAGTGCTTCTTGATGAAATGCATCGTGAGAATGTGGTGTGGGATGAGACATCAACTAACCTTGCTGTAGTCTCAGATGTATATTCGTGTGCACATGCTATTGAGCTAGACACCCATGATGTTCTTACAAATGTCAGCAGCTTACCACTATTTCTGGAGTTGGATGCATTCTCTGCAGGAAACATGTTTGAGGGCATGCTTAATAAGGACATAGACAAGGACATATCAGTTGGGCTTTACCAGCTGTACCAACCATCAACAAAAGGTGCACAGCTAGAGGGCAGTAGTATACCTCTCTCGCCAATCAACAAATGGTCTGATTCTGGTGGTGATCTTGATTCAGTGGAGCTGCACATGACGAGAGCAGAAATATGCCAGGTAGAGGCCAGTTTAAATGATGAGGGTAATCTGAAATATGACTTAGGTGCAGCAGGGAGCACACATCAGTTACCGGCCTGGAGTCATGGAATTTCCAGTCCAGGGGAAAGTGAGACACAGCTTGAGTTGTATAGGATGTCTGATACACAATGGGATCCAGGATTGTGTGCCCAGGATTATAAATACAGAGTTGGTGTAGATTTCAATGAGCATCGCACAGCTCTCAGGCCATTGGAGAAAGCTCTTATGCTGCAAATTCAACAACATCTCTCTGCCAATGGAACTGAAAGAACCATTGTCCTGACAGAAATAAGGCTTTATTGGGCTCCTTATGTTATCAGTTAGTGCACAGTGCTAGAATATCGAGCATTTAAGTGCCAAAAATTGTGCAAACTATACAATTTCAAACGAGATGAAACTAGTCATGGAGAAGATATTCTACATGCTTCAGTACTCAATGAATTCTTGACTTGGATGATGTGGAGATGCATATCAGTATTACATCTTGATGGTCCATGGGATCCTGGTATTTTTCATGCCGTTGCTTGGGGACAAGCAACATTTTGTGGTGGTGGAAATGATATATGTCAACGCATGTTACAGTCAAGTTGTAAAACGGAGACGCATGCTACAGTCCTGGGTGCCAATGATGTATTGCAGCATATCAGTGCTTGTTCTCTATTCCTACAGCTTGGTCGCAGAAAACTATATAGGGCGCTGTCCAGTGGTGGTGACTCTTCCCAATTCCTAAAACCTGGCATATATGTAACAAACCAAATGTTTCGGGAAATACTTGGTCAATTCTTCTGTTCTAAGGCCCAGAGATTTGCTGCTGAAGAGCTATACAGCATTCTTGACCAAGTGGATGAACTATTGTTGTTTCCTGACCAAAAGATCGGTAGACCATGGTGTGACATTGATCGGATATGTGAACTGATTCTGTCTCGGAGAGGCAATGGTTTCAGCCCAAGCAAATGTTTGTTGCAACTAAAGCCATACATAGTGAGACAGTGGGATCTAGGAATTTCTGGGATCTTTAGTCATCGAGATACAATTCATGAGTCATGTCGTTGCTTGGGGACAAGCAACATTTTGTGGGGTGGAAATGTAACACCATAGAATAGCAAGGTGTCCAAGGCTTTAGTCGACAAGTGGACCACCCACCCATGGGACCCAGTGGAAGACCAGATGATGTGTATAAGTTCCAAGAGTATGAACTGGGGAGGCTAGAAAGAAAATAGAGAAGAAGACAGAGATAAGGAAGCCAGGCTTCCTACTCCGTGACGAGATCCCTCCGATCTTCGATTGTTGCCACTCACGTCGCCGGCTTGATCTCACCGGCGGCGGCCACGGGTCGTGACACCCCCACATTGGGTGTGTGGTGTGATTCCTATACTTCTCTACATGGTATCACGAGTCCGTGCCTAGGTCCACTCGCCCACCCTCCTCCTCCAGCTGCGCCACCACCCTGGTCGCGCCTCTCTCCCTCTCCACCCCTGCACCGGGTCCTCCTTGCCAAGCTGCACCATGACTACCCCTTCCCAAAGACTCCTCCGCTGCCTCACCAACTCCTCATCCTTAGCCTCAGCACCGGCTGTCTTTCTCCATTCCCCCTACATCACCATCTTAGTCAAATCCCATGTGCCGATCACCCTCGAGTTGAAGCGCCTAACTTCACTTCGTTGGTCGCCTATCTTCCTCTCCCTCACGGCAAATTTCGCTTCTTCTCCTCGACGCCGATGGCACACAGTGAGGCACGCCCTACCGACGCTGGATCGGGCTGTCACGACCTCGTGTTTGCAATTGGCTCCTCAAAGACTGCTAGGGACGACGCTCCTCGATCTCGCCGAGGCTCCCAGATCCGACCGCCTGCCAGCTATGGACGGCGATCTCCGGCATCTACTAGGCGAACAAGGCCTCTCATATCTTCTTCCGAGTCACGAATTCCATTCGATGACTCGTGGTGACCTCTCCATTGACACCTACCGCCAAGATGAAGACCACGGCTGATGCCCCGCGCGTGATGTCGGCCACACTATCATCGTAATCGCAGCTCATCTTCAACTCCGCCAGGCCTCAACCCCGCTTTTCCTAGCACCGCCGACAACATCGCTGGATTCCAATCACTGCCCAACTTCACCACCGCCATGAAAAGCTCGTCCTCAAGGAGCTTTCGCCAACGAGGGCCAGGTCACCTCCTAGACTGCCCTCGTGAGGGAACACCTTCTTCTCAAGGCGACACCGCCACCATGTGTCCATAAGGGCAATCAAGATGCACCACTGCCACGGCGGCAAGGTTGGGCAACAACTGATGCGGTGGTAGCAATGACGGTGGCGGCTATTGCAATCGGCGAAAGGGTCGTGGTGGTGGTGGTGGTGGATCGTCTCTAGGGAGGCAACCGTGGCCCTCCCCACCCGGGCCGGCCCTGTTCTACTTCTCCCCTAGGGCGGCCAACAAGCGATGGGGCGGCTACTAGCAGCGCATGGCGCCCCCACAATGCCCTCAAGTCCTAGGCACCCCTCCAGAGGGCCCACACCGCTTGTCGCCCTAGCATAGTACTCCGACAGGCGCCACTCTCACCAGCATCGGTCCCTAGAATCAAGCCACCATGTTGCTGTCCTGAACCAACCGTCCTCTAGTGTTCAAACCTGGGTCCTCGACACAGGCGCATCTACACACAAGTCGCCCTCGGATGGTATACTCACTCCGCCTCCCTCACTGGACATTCCTTCATTGTTGTTGGTAATGGCGTTGACATTCCTATTTCCCCGTTGTGGCACTTCTACCTTGTCGGCAGCCAACACTACCTTCCACCTTAATAATGTCCTTGTTGCTCTGGCCCTAATGCGCGATCTTCTTTCTGGCCGTCAATTCACTAGCGACAATTCATGTTCCATTGAATTTGATGTTCGGGTTTTCTGTCAAGGACCGCATATGGGACATGTGATTCTTCGCTACAATAGTGGCGGGGATCTCTACACCATCACCCCCACACCACCGCTCACCTGTAGCCTCGCCACCTCAGCCACGCTCTGGCATCATCGTCTTGGTCACCTAGGTCCTTCCGCCCTCGCCACCCTGCTCAGAAACATGTCCATCTTCTTATGTAATAAGCGTACCATGGTCTTTATGTCATGCTTGTCAACTTAGCAAACACACCTGCCCCATTCAAGAGCTCTACTTCACACTACCTCTATCTTTGAGTTACTTCAATCGTGATGTATGGACATCCCCTGTTTTGAGCACTTGGGGTTCAAATATGTGGACCCTATAAGGATGTATACATGCTTGGCAACACTTGTATACATGCATAGAACCCAAAGTATAGCATACAATGGAAATAGAAAATAGAAAATGAATTAGAAAAAGGGGGAAGGAAAGGGAAAGAGGCCCATTGCCTCCACCTTGCTGCCATGTGCCGCCCAAACAACATTGACTCTCTCAGCGATGCACCCACGCCTCGAAAGCATGGCCGAGATGGCCCTAGCAGCCGCCCACGCCATGCCCGCCCATGTTGTGATGCACCATCGTTGTTTCCCTCCTGCCGTTGATAGCCCGGCCCTGCCTGTCATCCCCAACCCTCGCCCTTCCTCCGCTTTTTCAAAAGCAGAACACCAGAGATCAGGGGAATCCCATGGTCTCCCGTACACCTTGGCCATCCGCGCCCCTGGCCATTGCGCTCCAACATGCGGATGCACGCCACGTCTGCAGCCCAACAACGCCGCCTCGCCTCTCCTAGCCAGCGTATCTGCCCTCCACATAACCCCTTCCCCTCCATCCGTTGTCCACCGCCTGCCATGGCCGAGCTGGGGCTATAAAAGCCCCGAGCTGGTGCCCTAGCCTTCCCCTATCCACCCCGCCGCCACTGGTGGCTTCACCAACCACACGTTGAGATCGAGAGAGAGGAAGAAGAAGGAGGAAGGAAGGAGAAGGAGGAAGCCGAAAGGCTACCACCGGGGAAGCCACCGCCGGAGTCGGAGACGACGCCTCGATCATCTACACCGTAGCAGCTCGGGCGCCACCATTGCACCACCTTGTCACTGCTTGCCTCATCATCATGCCGCTAGCCTAGCACCACCACCGGTGAGCCCCAGACGCAGCCTCCGCTGGGTAAATGCAGTGGACATGTCCCATCATATCGCCTTGTTTACCCCTTGGGAGGGCCAGGCAAATCCTTTTTCACCATTGTGATGCTACGCACGCATGCGCGCACATCGAGCCAAGGCCTGGCCTTGCCGACCACAGTGCCTTCGGGAATGCCAACAACTAACACAACGCACCTTGCCGCGGTCACCATGGTGGAACATCCGCCACGTCACCGCCACTCATTCCGACCACCTCACACCGGGTAGAGTAAAGAGAGGTGCCTCGACGAAGCTTTGCCTCACCATCGGACATGTCTGTGTGCTAGATGGGAGAAGAGAGAAGCCCGAGGGCAGCTGTTCGTAATCGCCTTACCCAGACCGCCGTCATCCATGCAGCCACCGCCGGCCGGGATGATCTAGCCAACTCCAGCCGCCTCGCGTGACAAGATTTGGCTGTTGAGCTTCGCGAGACCCCACCACCTGCCGCATAGCTAGCTGGACGGAAAGCCCGCCTTGCCTTGTTTCATCATAGCCATAAGCTCGCGCCAAGTCCGCATGCCTTTTTGGTCACCCGCTGTGTCGTCTAGCCTCCCACGACCCCAATTGAAGGAAAAAAGCCACTTTTAGCTCGGGTCGTGGCCAGTAGCCACTCTACGCCCGTAGCCACCTCGCTGCAGCCCACCGCCCCGCCGAGCCCACGCCCAGCCATGGCCAACCTCACTCACAGAGCCCTTAGAGCTTCTTGCTAGCCCCTTAGCTGCATCCGTCGGAGCACTAAGAAGCCATAGGAGCCCCGTTGCGGCTGTGCCGATGTCCTAAGTACCCTTGCCGTCGACCCACACCGCTGGGAGCCACCGCGATGCCTACGCCGGCCACCAAGAGCTCCAAGCCGTTGTTTTTATCCCATCGAGAGAACTCCACGTGGCCCCATGATGCTGTGAGAGCCCCTAGCAGCCTCGCCCGAGGCACCATGGCGTGATGTGGGGGAGGAGGGGAGCTACCGTGATCAAAGCCGCATGGTGCACTCGGTTGCACCGTGAGCCGAGAGAGGAGAAAGGAGAAGTGGACATGGTCCACCGAGACCGTGCACATGGTTTATGGACCTCCACACCGTCTTGTCCACCGTGGACCCACCCTGTGGACCTAAGCGCGATAGCGTAGCCCACTTGCACAACATGCCCACCTGCGTGACAGTGACATGTGTTCGAGCCCGGCCGGACCTGCACCGCCCAACCCGGCCTAATATACTGCCCGCCAGT